CTCAAACAAACGTGTACTGACGTCACGTCGTGTCCTGGCAAGGCGATAAGGTATATATATAGGTACTTGAATGATGGGGTAGCTAGGCCACTTACAGACCGTCAGGTATTCATGGGTCTGAGGAGAAGTGAAGGCGACACTCAGAGCTTGTGTCAACAATACACTTGTCTGTTCTGATTATACTCGAATTAAACGATGTACATTTTATCATTCTGAAAGTGAAATAGATAAGAGCTCTTGTTTGTTATCGAAACCATATAGCCATCTTCATTCATGATAGTGTCGTCTGCTCCTGTTGAAAATTCCATTTCAGCTCGATGGAATCTTAGAATTTGGAAATTATTTCGATAGCAGTACATATACAAACGAAAGTAATACAAAATAAAGTCCCCTTAATCACTACCGTATACAAGGCATATACAAGACATATATCATACAAGGTATATAATATACAAGGCATATATCATACAAGGTATATACTATACAAGGTATATATCATACAAGGTATATAATATACAAGGTATATATCATACAAGGTATATATCATACAAGGTATATAATATACAAGGCATATATCATACAAGGTATATACTATACAAGGTATATATCATACAAGGTATATATCATACAAGGCATATATCATACAAGGTATATAATATACAAGACACATATCATACAAGGTATATAATATACAAGGCATATATCATACAAGGTATATACTATACAAGGTATATATATACAAGGCATATATCATACAAGGTATATAATATACAAGACATATATCATACAAGGTATATAATATACAAGGCATATATATACAAGGTATATAATATACAAGACACATATCATACAAGGTATATAATATACAAGGCATATATCATACAAGGTATATACTATACAAGGTATATAGTATACAAGGCATATATCATACAAGGTATATAATATACAAGACATATATCATACAAGGTATATAATATACAAGACACATATCATACAAGGTATATATCATACAAGGCATATATCATACAAGGTATATATCATACAAGGTATATATCATACAAGGTATATAATATACAAGGTATATAATATACAAGACACATATCATACAAGGTATATATCATACAAGGCATATATCATACAAGGTATATACTATACAAGGCATATATCATACAAGGTATATAATATACAAGGTATATAATATACAAGGCATATATCATACAAGGTATATAATATACAAGACATATATCATACAAGGTATATATCATACAAGGTATATATCATACAAGGTATATATCATACAAGGTATATAATATACAAGGTATATATCATACAAGGTATATATCATACAAGGCATATATCATACAAGGTATATATACAAGGTATATATCATACAAGGTATATATACAAGGTATATATACAAGGTATATATCATACAAGGTATATACTATACAAGGTATATATCATACAAGGTATATATCATACAAGGCATATATCATACAAGGTATATAATATACAAGGCATATATATACAAGGTATATATCATACAAGGTATATATCATACAAGGTATATATACAAGGTATATATATACAAGGTATATACTATACAAGGTATATATCATACAAGGTATATATCATACAAGGCATATATCATACAAGGTATATAATATACAAGGCATATATCATACAAGGTATATATCATACAAGGCATATATCATACAAGGTATATATCATACAAGGTATATATCATACAAGGTATATAATATACAAGACATATATCATACAAGGTATATACAAGGCATATATCATACAAGGTATATATCATACAAGGTATATATCATACAAGGTATATATCATACAAGGTATATATCATACAAGGTATATAATATACAAGGCATATATCATACAAGGTATATATCATACAAGGCATATATCATACAAGGTATATATCATACAAGGCATATATCATAATATACAAGGTATATATACAAGGTATATATCATACAAGGTATATATCATACAAGGTATATAATATACAAGACATATATCATACAAGGTATATATCATACAAGGTATATATCATACAAGGTATATATACAAGGTATATATCATACAAGGTATATATACAAGGTATATATCATACAAGGTATATATCATACAAGGTATATAATATACAAGACATATATCATACAAGGTATATACTATACAAGGCATATATCATACAAGGCGTATGCCAACCTGAACAATATTTCTCATTAATGTGGAAACATGGAATATTTTAGATAAAACAGAAGATTTCCATAAACAGTTAACTGTGTAAAGTTGTTTATTATGGTATCCTTAAAGACAGTTTATTTTTCCCACATACATGATATGTGCTAGAAACAAGATAAATCTTAGTGGTTATATGTTTTTTGGATTTTTTTTTTTTTTTTTTTTGTTATTTCTTGTTGATTTTATCACAAAAGATCAGCATCTTATTACAATTATTTTTATTAATCTTATGCTTTCAGGATAGCAACTCTTTGCTATTTTACCCCTCTGACAAAAATGCAATGTTTAAGTTATATTGACTCATAAAGACTCACCGTAAAAATTGTCAATATTCGCATATATATTGTGCAGTTCGATTAAGATGAAAACGTTGTACAAAACATATTTTTATGATGAATGTAAATTTGACGAAAAGAATATTCACACAATAACAAATATAGTGTTGTTACCTATCAGCATACAGCAAAAGGTATATTGTGACACATGATGTAACTAATAGAATGACCCTGTCCAAGTAGGACCTTCATATAACCAGTATACAGCAACCAAATTCCTTTCTTTCTCACGTTTTCCAATTTCCACGTGAGTAAAAAATTACGTATTTCAAAGATATGTTGTTTTTGTTGCCACAAGACCGTTTCATATATAGAACATATTAATTATCGATTACTCTTGAACTTGATATTATTTACTGAATCAGTATAAGCGGATTCGTCTACCCGTGTACATGCGATCTTTAGTCACGCGACCAGTGGCTGCGCTTTTGTCGCTCTAATTTGTTGGTGCGATATCAAAACAGCAGTGTCAGAGATGAAAATTCCTATATTGATGAAACTGCGTTGATTTCAATACCAATGTGATGCTTGTTAATGATTTTCTTTTTGGTTGTTATGAAGAGAGAAATATACCGCGGCGATTTCACAAAAAAAGTTACTTGTGCTTAGAGTCCGTGACCATTTGTTATTATACAATAAAAAAGCAACCTCGTGTGAACAATTATGTAGTTTTTCCGTCATAAATGTGTAATTATATAAATAAGATTTTCTTTTCTTTTCCTTTAAGATGATTTACAAATCTACTTTTTATAGTGTTTCACTCTCGTTGACAGATAAGAACGGCTATAAAGAATTGCGCATTTTTCTAGTAATATTGATACTGGATAAAATACATTTACTTCAGCTTGAATTTAAAAAATGTCATATTTCTTTGCTGATGGTGATGCATCAGACAATGTAACTTGTTAATAGAAATTGATATCAAATTGCCCGTTTCTATATGAGCATATTTCTCAAACAAGCATAAATCAAGATGGAAATTACAAATTTAAAACTGATAAGAAATTATTATCATTTTTATTATTATTATTATTATTATTATTATTATTATATATAAAGGCGTTTTGGAAGTTCAAAATACTATTCTAATGTAGAAGAGCGTTTCAATGGACATCATATTCTCAAAACGTGTGGCTATGATCACGCGACAGCGGACATTTGACCTTGCGATGTTAGGACAATGACGTGAAGAATATGAGAGGATCTCTTCACACTTCGTGCATTGATCCTCTCTTAAAGCACGCAACTATTCATCAAATCCGATCACAAAATATTGCCTCTCATTTTTCCTGATCCATAAAGCAAAAGCCTTCTAGGGAACTTTTCAGCTGTCACGACATATTTGTCCAGTAATTCGAGAGGGAACCAAGTGCTAGCACGTCATGTAACTGGTACAAGTATTACATGTCACCAGGTTACATAACCATCATTGTAGAAATTATGCATTTACCTATCAAATCAAGGATTCTTTCAAATATCACATCCATGCTCAAAGTGTTAGAGCTTACATGTCCATCACAGAATTAGAAATGTCAATTTGCAAAATAATGCCCAAATATCTTTTTGAATTTTTTGATGAAGCTTCCTGATAATATCAGTGTCATTATCACGCTTTCATCAGAAGAGTATTTCACATTAGAAATATCTTACAGGTATTGGGGAAACTCGTGGTGTTGGCAATGGAAATTAAAAATCGTTTATAAACCCAATATTAAACTTAAATGAAGCTTTCTTCATTACTCAGAAAACAAAAAGTTATTAGATTTTATTCATCACACAACTGTAAAATTTCACAAGCAGATGTCATAGAATCATTCATCAGGGAACTATGATGTGTAAACGTCAATGATTCAAGTCAAAGGCATGATAATGTGATGTCACTGTAGAAAGGTGTGATGCTTTGTTCTGCTAGTAGGTAGCGTGTATTGTAATAACATATTGGACAGCATTGTTACACTTTGAACATGAAAGCTATTTGATCAATTATCATAGACCGTTTCATTGTCATTCGTCAGTTTTACCCATCAATACACTAGATTGATCATTATCGTTTGGAGGAAAACCTACCATCACAATTTCCATTTTGCTTTTTTGTATTTTTGTAGTTTCTTGGTTTCCTTATTCCTGTCATACTTATAATAAGCATAGTTAATACCATTCTGCTCGGTGGAATTTGTATAAAACTTTCACAATTATAACTTTATCTGTAGTCATAATGATTTTGTTTTAACTTTATTTTCAGCATGAACATTGAAGATTCCTTTGTAAGACAGCATATCCTGGCGATTCTTTTTTTTAAAAAACCGCAAAATACCTATAATGGTATTTCTTTTTTTTTTGACAGCATGTCTAGTCGTCAATTAAAGGAGATGACAGAGAACAATAACAAATATATTTCAATTTCAGTAATTTTATTTGATTTTCATCACATGACCTGCATATATTAGATGATTTCATATTTCATAAATTTGTTTCCTAGCTACGCTAGAAATAATATAATAACAATAAGGCAAATTTAACGTGGCACTTTTGGTTTTCTTGAACACATTTGACTAGGACTTATCGTGCTTTTTATATTGATACATAATATATAATTGATTAACGTAATATCAACATAGCATAACATACAAAAGCACCAAAACAATGTATATGTATTTAAATAACGTACCAACATGACGCGAATAACAATTAACGATATATATATATATAGATTTACTACTCTACAGAAAACCAGATTATAACTTTTTATTACATGTCATTAATCAATTACAGTTGTCATTTTTTTTATAATTTCAGACAAGTGACCTGCACCAAAGAATCAGAAGGTAATTTCTATAATAATTCATATTTAAAGAAAAGCCAAAGAAAGAGTTGCCTCCCTTTGCAGAGAATATCTATCATTTTTAAAAAGCACATTACATCTACATAAAGCTTGTATTTAAGCTAAGGATATTTCTGACCTCATTAGGTCTACATCAATGTGACACTTGTCGTTGTAATAAACATATGTTAAAGTCAATAAAATACATAAAAATTGCACTGATTCATTACCAAAAACCTATACTAGTTATGGTTGAGGTAAGTACTAGTTTGACCAATCATTATCTTAAAATATGCATTGGGTTGACATCACATATGTCTGCGTACAAAAAAAAATGAAAATCTTATTTAAGGACCAATTTTCTGTCCAACTGTTCATACAAAAATATCATCAAAATCTTAAAAAGAATCTATCATAAAAAGATTTAAATGCAAAAATAGACTCTGTAACAATATTTAGTCCGTGGACTGAAGAGATGAATTGACGTCAGAACCTGAGTTTCCACACTAAATACACTTCTGACAAATAGTTTTGAAGTGTTAACATTTTGGCTTCGTTGCTCATGTATCAAGGTGGAATTTTTGATTGGCAGTTGTGTTGCATAGCAATGATACGAACTAGTTATGGACTTAACTGGCCTTGCAAATTAGGAAAAGGTCTACATACATATATACGCTAATACACGTATGGATCATATAATATATTACAGTATACATAACATCCGTTCGACATTACGATACTCGCCATCTCTTGGTGCCATCCTGGGGCGGATAGCCCAAACAGTTGTATCGTTTTGTCAGGAACGTGTAACAAAGGTAACTATCGGACCAGCCGACAAATTTTGAAACCTTTTACAACAGCCCTTAACGGTACAAAACGATACTAGAGATTTTCCCAACCTTAACCACTAATTTCCAATTTTACATCACCATCTAAACTTGTATGACATATATCAACTTGGTGTTGACAAAATACAACAATCATAGATAACTATCTACAATTACAACATCATAGTGATCAATTGATTATGAAATGGAATGCAGTGTTTTTTCAGGTTGAACACGGAAATGTCTCTAGATTTAGACCGAGGTCTTGTGGTATCACACTGGTTGGTGATGGTCAGTTCATATGTGGCGTTTCATATGGAGTGACAAATGATCACTCCTGGAGAAGGCCCTTTCACACAAGTGACATTGGAAAGGGCGGTCACCGGTATGTTTACGGTAGTGACGGGTAAGTTCATCAGAGCGCGCAAATTTCCAGCCGCATCCCTTCCATGTGCATGCATATGGCTTCTCGCCAGTATGAGTCCGTAAATGCGCTTTAAGATGGGAACTTTTAGTATATGTCTTACTACATCCAGGATGTGAACATGTGTGGCTTGTCTGTCGTTTTCTGCCCCAGCTCCTTCGTCCTCGTTTTTTGGGTTGGCATGACGATGGGTCAACAGGCTGTTGCGGAAGCAACAGGTCAACAAGTTGTGGGGACGATGGTGGTGTGATCATCTGATGCTGCATCATGTGTTGCTGTGGCAGAGGCATTTTAGATAAGAAATGATGGGTGGGCATCATAAAAGCTTGTTGAGCTTGTGGCGACGTTTGTTGGTGATGCATCTGTTGATGATGGGGAGGAATTCTGTGGATCTGTGGATGTTGTGTGAGAATGGAGAGTGGGGCACGACATTTTACCTGGTCATCCTGGTGTTCGGGAGAGGCTGGCGGTGACAAATTACCAGGAATATTCAACTGATAGTGTATCTGTTGTTGTTGCTGCTGTTGTTGTTGCTGCTGGTGTTGTTGTTGCTGCTGAGGAGACACTGGACTCATTGTACAGTTAAGTCTAGGCATAGCAACAGCAGAATTGTTAGTTGACATATATGAAGCACACGAAGTCGTTGTATTCCGATTGCACTCTTGTTTAGGTACGATAATTTGTTGTTTTCTAAAGTCAGCTTTTACATTTTCCATGTCGTACATAGTATTCATAATATCAGGAATGTCCATGAATGTAGAGTGAAAATCTGGTAATGTGTCTGCATTAACAGAGAGCGGCTCTCGCTTGACTTTCTGTCCATTATCCTCTGGATACAAGGTAGTGTTGTTGTCCAACGACCCATTATCCATGGTGTTGGAAAGAATGAAATCAAAGTCTAACAAGTCATCGTATATTTCATTCTGTGCTGGGGAAGGTGAACAGGTTGTAGGAGTGTTCATCCTCTGAGGAGAAGTGTTGGCGGTTGAGATGTTTTGCTGGGGGGAAGCACTTGACCCACTGATAGCTTGCAGGATGTTGTTCTCATACGGAGTAGTATCCTGGTACATCATTGCCAGACTCTCAACATCTTGCCATCCCTGTAATTATACAAAATATTAAACACAATTAAAACATGTTAATGTATAAAAAAAAATGTTGTATTAATACACTCAATATAAAGTAACATGCATGCACGTATTCAAGTTCAAGTATACTATTACAACAAATCAGAAAAAATATACAACTACCTGTAAATCAAATGTAATGATTTCCTCCATGTCTACACGATATAGTAATAGATACACACTGTGTATATGCCTGTGTGGCGGTGACTGACTGTCAGGCGTACAGTCTGGACAGTGAATAGTGTCAGTGTAAACTGTCTTACTTTATAGGAAATGACAGCCTTAATAATGAGATAGTGTCGACTGTCCGTCTGCGCAGGGGTCGTGGAAATACATAGTAAAGATATATACATAATCCGATTACACACTATCGATAGAGAAAAAGCGACATATCACAGCTAATAGGTATAGATAGGGATAACAGGAGAAAAGTCCTAATGCCTTCGGAATTAGGTTCATAACATCTCGGTGTACATACATATGTATCACGCAATATCTTATCGATTTTACTTGTAAAATTTTTGGAAATGTTGTTCTAGGTTGATTTCAATATGCATCAGTAAAAATGTTAACTCCAACATGTTAATGATTCAAAGTGTAAAACATACTGAAAATGGGTAATGTTGCATAACGGAAACATGATAACATGCGATTTCTTTTCGTTAGGACATCAACTGATGTAAACATGTATATACACTTAAAACATGCCATCTTGTATAAATGGAACAAGTTATCTTTAAACATTTCTGTCATATTATTAAAATCTTAAATTGTTTAGGCGTTGAAGTGTAAATTAGAAATATGTATAAATACTTACATTAGTAAGTTCAGTGTTGTCCTCAAACTTGGGGGACACCGTGAAGCCGGTGCCTGATTCCAACAGGGAATCCATAATAGTAATCATTCAACACACAGGTGTAAACACAGTTAACGGTACTGTATAGTCGTCTAGGTCGATATGTTCCTCGCTTGGATTAAAACAAAGTGTATTGCATACTATATGTACCATTTACTATATAGTCATCTAAAAATATATTTAATGAACTGCCTCTAGGTTACTTTCGTCCAATCAAATTGCTCGCCTATATTTAGACGGCTATATAAGCGGCCCGCGCTACAGTCAGCTCATAGTTCCTTAGAGATGTGCTACGGTACACAACAAACAAACGTGCGAAACCTACTTTACTCATAAACACAAGATGAGCTCATAGTCCTTAATCACGTGAACCTAGATAATGAAATAGAATTTCCATGCTTTAAACTTTGTAAATTGGACATATAATGTAAGTTTAAGGCGTTACAAACATGACACAACCATGATTATTACGTGGTAACATTGACCCAGTTTTAAAGCGGTCACGATTGACAAGTCGGAAAGTAAAGCGATAGCCCGATGCACTACGTACTTTGCCGAATTAAGATAAAATACTTCCCGAGTAAAACCGAAACTTACCGATGATGTCATATGATCTGATGTTCATGCTTACCTGACTGCAGACATACAGTTTTTGTAAGCATCGTTACGTCTAAATTTAGCTGGCTATTAATAGAGGAGTATATAAGTGTTTTCGCTGTTGATATGGAGCAGTTAGTGAGACGATGAGAGGAGAGGCAGAAGGCTGTCCCGTGTCGATACAACAATATGTGTAGTGTAGGAAGATGTGATATATCCTGGTGTGTAGGATACATCAGGTGATAGGGGCATGATATGTAACGAGTATTAACTTCTCGTAATAACCGACTAATCTATCTACACGATAATAATCAGTTCTGTTATTCAAGTTCTTATTATTTACTTACATCTCTACCTATAATAAATGTTTATATGATGAAACATAAACTGGCTTTTTGATTTAATAATTCCATTTTGTTATTTCCGTGAGAACAAAAAGTAATAAAAACAATACACACGCAAACGAACCTTTTTTATTCTTGGATGTTGACTTGAGAATAATTTTATAGATTACCAGATGAAACTAATTTTACAAGAAGAAAGCCATTATATTATATAACAAAACTCTTATCATCTCGTATGGTAATTGTGTTTATCAATACCGTAATATATCGGTATGGTATCGAATTGCCCTTCCTTAGTAGTAACATCTCAGCCTTCCTTTCTTTCTGCCTTTTTACATATATACGTTGGTCCCAAGAAATGCACCTGTGCTGAACATTATTTAACCATACCAGCCTTCTTTTCTTTCTGTCTTTTTACATATATACGTTGGTCCCAAGAAATGCACCTGTGCTGAACATTATTTAACAATTTGGATTTATGATCAGGGTTTTTACAAGAGTGTTCCTACTGGTCTTCAGAAAAATTAAAATCTAGTGACATCATTTTCAGCAACAGTATATAAAAACAGGTCAGTGTTAACAAAAACTTTTTATGGTGACTGAAGTAGTTTATTAGTATTAAACAATTATGTTTTGCTTCAATAAGGGAATCTTAATTGCTGCCACATCTATTGCATCAAATACCCTCATTGAATACCCTTTTATACTTCATTTGGGTGGAGAAATTCATGTTGTATTTTGTTTTATACTAACATGTCTTTATGGTATGTTTGTATCTCCTTCATTTTATGCTATATCGATATCTCCTTATTTAAAACTCTTCCTTCCCCTGTATGTTATATTAGTCTCTCCTTATGTCATGCATTGGTGCCACCTCCCCTCCACCTGTATGTTATATTAGTCTCTCCTTATGTCATGCATTGGTGCCACCTCCCCTCCCCCTGTATGTTATATTGGTATCTCCTTATGTCATGCATTGGTGCCAACTCCCCTCCCCCTGTATGTTATATTGGTATCTCCTTATGTCATGCATTGGTGCCACCTCCCCTCCCCCCTGTATGTTATATTGGTATCTCCTTATGTCATGCATTGGTGCCACCTTCCCTCCTCATTTTATGTTATATTGGCATCCCGCATCATTTATGTTTTATTGATATTCTCTTATTTTATAATCTGGGCCATGATATCTCCTTCCTTTATGCCGAATTATAATTATTTTGTTTCTAAATTTTGGTAACTCCTTACTTATATCGCATGAGTGTCTCTTCATTTTATATTCGAAACAGAGACGTATATATGTCTTTGGTTCTAAATTTCTTATTTTACATCCTATTGGTGTCCCCACATTTTCAGTTCTAAACCTTGTTAACTTCTTATTTTACATCCTATTAGTGTCCCCTCAGTTAAAGTTCTAAAACTTGGTAACTCTTTATTCTACATCCTATTAGTGTCCCCTCATTTTAAGTTCTAAAACTTGGTAACTCCTTATTCTACATCCTATTAGTGTCCCCTCATTTTAAGTTCTAACACTTGATAATTCCTTATTCTACATCCTGTTAGTGTCCCCTTATTTTAAGTTCTAAAACTTGATAACTCCTTATTTCACATCCTATTGGTGTCCCCTTATTTTGAGTTCTACAACTTGATGATTCCTTATTCTACATCCTGTTAGTGTCCCCTTATTTTAAGTTCTAAAACTGGTACCTCCTTTTTTATCGTATTAATGTCTCTTCATTTTATGTTGTACATTTATGTTCTGTTGTATTTCCCCTCATTTTCTATTCTAAAACTTAGTTACCTCTGAGTTTATTTCGTAATGGTGTTCCTTCATGTTCTAATAGTTGATAACGCCTAATTTATACCGTATCAACACCCTATTGTCTTATATTGCACACCAGGGAATATTGGTATGTTCGGTGTGTTTTATTCTTCGCTTCATCATTATCATGTTTGGATACTTCTTTTTAAATTCATATGCTTAACATATATTATCAAATATTATTAAACTTAATTCTACACCTGACAGATATATTTAATTGATCTAATTGATTACTTCTCTGTAAGTCAAAATAGTAGGATGTTTTGTAAACATTACAGATATATATGTGTTTGTGCATTATGAATTAGACTTTCGGTAAACTTATATATAACGAGTAGCATCTTATTATATGAAACAACATGATATATAGGTAATTCATATGGAAATATATGTAGTTTATTCTTTTTTAATAACGCGCCATTTTATCAAAGCTTTTACAATGCACGAGGACCAGACATTAACAAAATACAATGAAGCATTATTAATTCAGCAATATTTTTTGTTTTTAACTTCAACTCGTGTTTTAATGATTTTAATAATCAATCAAAATAAATTTATTATAATTTGAGAATTTACTTCGTTTTAAATTACGATAAATCATCAGGTTGTTTCCTAGCATTGCGATCAGCGTATAAATCTCCTAAAACATCGGTTAATTACCACAGGTAATGCCTTTAGGATGGTGGTCTTTATGTCTCTCTCCTGAGATAAATCTAGCCTTTCTGGGGACCATTAGAGCCACCTGTCCGCCAGGTTTCCATGTTTAGTTCCTCGTTGTGTCCTCGGGATGAACGTTATGTATGGGTAAATCGACATGAAAAATGTTTCTTGATCGTAAATAAACAGCAAACTGTACATTTCGTACAAATCTTTCTACTGGTCTGTCAAATCTTTCAAGTCCGTTATTCATGATTGTCTGGAAAGAATTGATACCTTACATTTTATAAATGAAAAATCAGCATGACATAAAATGGACCTATTATATACAAAATAACAGTAAGGTTATTTCTAACAGTCAAAATTGTTAATATTACAAGCTTTGTACGAATGTTTAAAGACATTTGTAGTAGCCTGAGTTATTTTTTTCCTTTTTTCACAAGCTTTGTACCAATGTTAATCATCATTTGTAGTAGTCTGGGGTTTTATAAGAGCTTTGTACCACTGATAAAGCGCATTTTCAATAGGCTGCACTCTTTTTTTCATTACCTTTGTACCAATGTTAAAGGGCATTTCTGGTAGTCTAGTGTTTTTTATAAGTTTTGAAGCAATGTTATAGGCCGAACTATATCATTTTGGTTTGTTTTGATTTTATGTAACCTTTTCAATGTTAAGTAAAATAGTCACTATTTCTAACAGTTATAATTTACAATTTTTTTAACGATACTTGATTACATTTGGGTTACCTCCTGTTCCTGTATATAGTAGATACCTTTATACATACTGAGAATATTTGTCGTTACTTAACTGACCTTGTTAGATATCACTTAAATTTAATGTGGCAGCATTGTTAATATATATATATATATTTAACTTATATTGTCATGTTTTACAGAAATACTTAACCAATTGTTGCCATGATTACATTTCCTAAACATTGTGATAATGGTTAAATAGAGAAGTAAATAAGTTGTGTGAGAATCTGTATCCTATACATGTAATTTCACGAGAAAGTGTGTCACCCGGTTCTTAATAATAGCCTGGTATGGTATCCCCTGAATACGGTCAGTCAATACATGTTTCTTGTTTGTCTTCGGTTAGACAATTTAGGGTAAGTAAACATTAGACATACTACAGAATACTTCAGCGTGCCTGGGGCGCTGATTTACTAGGACAAGCTCTCCTTTTCATAAGGTGCTGGTCACTGGTGCCTGGGTCAACTCAGATAACACTATCATACGGTAATGCATTAATCAAAGTCATCAACTACATAAAAAGATCGCTTCATTATCAACCTTTACTAAACTATCTCTATTGTTCTTTTGTTTACAATGCTTTTTATAAATAATACGCTTTTTTATAGTATCAAAAAACACATATATAACATAAGCTGATATCTGTTATAAGTAAATTAGCATGGACCCTGATACGTTCAAGACAAAATGTCTATTGTCAAATCAAAACCAGTAATTAAAGGAAGTAGTGTTTTAATATTATTAACAAGCGTGTGTATCGGACGTAAGCTCACCTGTTAGTCATACCGCTATCAAAGCAGAGCTTGATTAATTGTCATTACGATTCTCATCAGTCATGATTAAACATTGATAGAGTGAACCGTTAACAAATATGTACCAGCGACATTTAAACAGGCGGTTTTAATTTAATACCACATTGCCACCTATAGGTTAAAGTATAATT